GGCGGGAGGGAGGGACTCGGTCTCCCCTGGGGGCTGTCCTCTGCCCCTCCTGCTCATTTGTCTCCCGGACCTGAGGGGGTCGTATGGTGCAGTGTGCCCGAGGGGGACCCCGAGGAGACGTGTCCACGTCCCGACCCGGGACCCGAGAACGTGACCTCACGTGGAGAGAGGGCCTTCGCGGGCGCAGTTCGGTAACAAAAAAGGAAAAGACGAAAAGGACGTATTTCGAATTATGTTTTAAAAACCGCTACCAATGTTTGTACCCAGTACTAATGCCAGTTTTTAGAAACTCACGGAGGTTTCCGTAGTTATTATCGTCACGAGTAACTTGTTGGCTTGGCAAACGGCCATTACGAGTGCAGGGGCCGAGCTGGGGGCCCCCACAGATGTCTGGTCCCTTGGAGCATGAGGATGAGACCTCACGCAGAAGCACCTTTGCAGGTGGGACGGAGCTCAGTGTCCTGAGAGGCCATGGCCATCCTGCGTGCCTGGGTGGGCCCTGCACGCGGTGACGGGCGTCCCCATGCACGAGAAACTAACAGCAGGGGCCACGTGACCGCACAGCCACCAGCCCAGGGCGATGCCTGGGGCCCCAGAAGCCGGGAAAGGATACGGCCCCCCTCACCCCACCCCTCCCTGCTCAGGGTGAGCCCCCACCAGGGCTGAGCTGCGTCCACGCACAATGTGGCATTCCTGCCCCGGGGTCTGTGGCTGCCATATGCCCCAGTGGGGGGTTCAGTCTTGGCCTGAAGCCGGGGCTGGGGGGATCCTGGGGTCGGCCAGCTTGGGCTCATGGTCGCTGTGGCCTTTGACGTGCTCCTGCTGGCTCATAGCCTCGGAGGTCCCATCAGTGGCCGTGACTCCCCTCTGGGATGTCCAGGGCGTCTGGGACGGAGGGCCAGCTCCACAGCCTGGAAGCCCTTGGAGGGCCCGTTGAACCGCGCCCCAAGGCCCCGCCTCCTCACGTGGGATGACGGGTCACCTTCCGCGTGGGGTTTAGAGGGAACAGTGCCACGCAAGGGCTGGGCCCGCAAGGGGACCTGGGGCACAGCCATGCGGGACCGGAGGCCGCCGCCGTGGGAGTCCGATGTCGGGTGGATGTCGTGGCCCGGGGCGCTGAGCTCATCGGCTCCACGGCAGGGCACCTGCTCTCGTGTGTTCCGGGGTCTTTGGAACTTTCCAGGGCGACTTTTATACAAACTGAAGCCTCTCTGATACGATTTGGGGTTTAAAACGTCAGCACCTAATCTGTTGAATCACACGTTCAAAACCCCGTCTGGCCCCGGGCTTGAGGTCCCTTGACGAGCCCTTGGTTTATCTGCCTGGAAGGTCCTGTCCTAGCC